TCTTTCCACCATACCACGCATTGCCAGAGAAACTCTTGACGCCCATAATTTATCTGCAGCTTCTCATCTCTCTCAAAATAAATGACACTGAAGTTATCAGGGTCAGAAACATTGTAGAAGAGATGCCCAAATAGCCTCAGATCTGCAGAATAACTTTTTATATTTTTGGTGAGGCAGTCAGGGATTTAACCCGTTGCTCTGGGGTCACCCAACTAGTAAATGTTATGTGTCTCAGACTGGTCCTAACTCCAAGGCTAGGGCTCTATCCACTGTAACACCCAGGTGCCCTGTAACACTTTTAATACATAATAAAAATCTAATAAGAGATAGCATTTATATAGCACTTTACATGTGACCTCATTTGATCCTCATAACCATCTTGGGAGGTAGGTGCTATTATTTATCCTTATTTTACAGATGAGGACACCTGCCAGGTCACAGAGTTAATAAGCGTCTGAGGCAAGATTCAAACTCAGGTCTTCCTTACTCCTGACTTGAAGTCCAGTACTCTCTGCATTCACCACCTAGCTGCCAGTTCATGTCACAGAAGCTCGTAGGTAACCCCAAACATGGGGAATGCCAAAAAACATTTGGATTTCACCTCGAACACAAAGTATGCAGGCTTTTGCTATGAGTGTTGCCATTGATGACATTTGCCTCAAAAAGCACTAATAACACGATGCTTTCTGAGTAGTTATACGCTTAGTAAAGAATAATAACAATAGCTAGTATTTATATAAATTCTTAAATTTGTCTAATTCAGAGGTACAGCCTAGCTCCCTTCCTCTCATTTCCATGAGGGCTGTGCTGAGGCTTTGATTTGTTGTGCCTGCCCAAATACGTTGCTGCCCCCAAGACTCTGTGGATTGGATTCTCTAGTATCCTATATTTCGCCTCCCTTTCACCGCCAGACTTGTAGGAAAAGCTGTCTACGTTCAGTGCCCTCTCTTTTCTGGATTATCATCCATTCTTCTTTCCCCTGTCATTAAAACCCAAGGCTCTATACTGGACCTTCGTCTCCACATTCTCTCTCAGTGACCTGATCGACTCCCATGGGTTCAATTATGACTGCAAATTATGAATATTCAATCCTCTTCCTAAATTCTGTTTTTGCATCACCAACTGCCTGACTAGGTTAGGCCTCTCAAACTCAACATGTCCAATAAATGTTTCCCCTAGTTCTCCAAACTTCCCTATTTCAGTTGAGGGCATCGTTATTCTTCCAATCATACAGGTTCACAACCTTGGAGCCATCTTCTATATGATGCCAACTTGAACCTTACTTTAGACCCTCTTTGTCAGTTCTACTTCCATCACATCTCATGTGACACCACTCCACTCACATGCCCACTGCCTCTTCTGAGACCCTTCACCTCTTAGACTACTGCCAAATCCTCACGGGTGCCCCTGCGTCTTCTCTTTCCAAATCATTTTCCACACAACAGCCAAACACAGGTCTAAAGCTGCCTAAGCCTCAGCAGGTTTCTTCTTGCTTTTAGGATAAAATGCAACCTCTTGTGTTTTACATAACCCTTCATAATCTGGCCCTAGCTTACCCTTTCCAGACTTAGTACACCTCACTCCCCTTCATTCACACTCCAGGGGCAGCTAGGTGGCACAGTGGATAGAGCAGTAGCCCTAGAGTCAGGGAGACTTCTGAGTTCATATTCAGTCTTGGACACTTGCCACTTACTAGCTGTGTGACCCTGGGCAAGTCACTTAACCCCATTGCCTAGCCTCCCCCCCTACAAAACAAAAATACAAAAAACACACTCCAAGCCAGTGAAGTTGGCGTAGATGTTTCACTCACAGGATAGTCCATTTCATGTCTCTGCCTTTTTACAGGCTGCCCTCCCTCCCTGGAATTCATCCCTCCTCACCTTCTTGTTCAGTTGTTTCAGTCGTATCTGACTCTTCATGACCCCATTTGGGGTTTTCTTGGCAAAGATACTGGAGTGTTTTGCCATTTCCTGTTCTAGCTCATTTTACAGATGAGGAACTGAGGTAATCAGAATTAAGTGACTTGCTCAGGGTCACACAGCTAGTCTGAGGCCGGATTTGAACTCAGGAAGATGAGTCTTCCTGCCCCTGGGCCTGGCACTCTTATCTACTTTGCCACCTAGCTGCCCCACGTCTTAGAAATACCTAATTTCCTTCAAAGCTCATCTCAAGCCTCACCTCCTAGATGAGGCCTTTTTGACCATCATCCTCCCCACCCTGCTATCCTTCATCATACTTCATTTCTTTTGCATATACTTAACGTTTCATCCTCATCCCCTAAACGGAGTGTAAATTTCTTCAGGGCAGGGGCTGCTTAATTTTCTTTTGTAGTCCCAGTGCTTTGGCACAGTACCTGGTACACAGGCATTTAAGAAATGCTTGTTGGTTGATAGACTAATTGACTGAAAGCAGATAGAAATCGTGAATTGCACCCAGAATTCATTAGATCAGGGTATATTACATTTGAGAAATTGTAGGGTGCACTTAATGGCCGTAAGCTTCTTCCTGAAATAGGCCTTTTAAAATTAATATCTTCTAGTGATTCTATATGCCTATGAGTCATAATATACCACAGTCTTTGAAGAATTAGTTGCAAGCCAACCCGAGTGTAATGGAGAGGTACGTGGTGAGCATGAGTGGGCAGCAACATGGTGCTAATGAAAAATTGCAAGCTAAAAGAAACATCAAGGATAGCTCCTTGGAGATATGTGAAAATTATGAGAAAAAGGCAAGAAAGTCACGTAATAAGAACTCAGTATAACCCGTGGACGGTGCTCGTATTCTCTTGTTCGTGCTCTACCCTTCCCCCATGAAGGATTTATAGAATGACATGGACACTAGCTGTACGGATGACAGCGTGGATGATTTGCCATCCGCGCTGTTGGAAAAAAATATTCATTTGGATGAAATCATAGATCATCCAAGAAAAGAGTAAGAAAATGCAGTGGGGAACTATTGCTTGTAAGTCAGAGTATTAAAGTTAACTGTGTCGGCCCTTCAGCTACCTCATTTGAAGATTATTAGTTTCATTGCCTTGTGCAGAATGTGGGAAAGTCCTGTCCTTGGCACAGGTTGTCTGAAAGGGTGGGTACCATTCCAAGCCCTAAATCCCAGATGAAAATTTAGTGCAAGGCCAGTTCTCTTGGAGGAAAGGATGATAAAGCCAGGGGTACCATCCCATGCAGCGACAGAGGAAAAAGATTCCAGGAATTTGCTTGGAGGCCCATAGGGGAGGGGAGCAGGCTGCAGAGATGTTCACCTGGGATACAGCCAAAAGGCAGGAAATCTTGACCTGGTAGCATCCTATTTTAATTACTCTTACTAACTAGACAAGAAAGGCAAGCAAGAACTGTCAGCAACCCCTAAATTTCAGATGGCCCTGGGGGAAAGCCTCAGCTGCTTTCCCTAATTACAGTTCTGGGCCTGTTTTCTTCCCCGTTCCACTCAGTAGAGTATCCTTAGCTTTCTTAACAAAGCCATAGGATGCCTCTAGGACAGGTGCTGTGTCTCATACCTTCTTGAATCTCAGAGCCCAACACAGAAGATGCCCTCCTTGCAGAATAGCTTAGCAAGGGTTTGTAGTTCCCATTTTGCTAAATGATAATCAGGATGGGACTTGGATGAGGAGTTGGGAATGGATGGCCCGTGAAATCTACGGATGACCCTTTAGACTGTGTTTCTTGTCCGCAGTCCAGTGGATCTTATATAAAACAAAAATGGGAATTGATGCTTTCAGCCCCAGGGCGCTTCAGCTTTTCAAGAAGCTATCACACAGCACTTGGTGTAGTGGGAAGAAAGATGCTTTCAGAGTCAGAAGATAGGGGTTTCGGTAGCAATTCTGACAGTAAATGCAATCCAGCCAATCTGGTCTTCCTTCTGCTTCTTGCTCATAACATTCCATCTCCTCCCTCAGCCCCTTTGCGTTGACCATGCTGCGTATCTAAAAGATGCTTCCTCCTTACCTGTCTCTGTCTTTAAAACTCAGCTCAGGCACTGTCTTCTGCATAAAACCTTTCCTGACAGCTGACTGCTACTGCCTCACCTCCCAAACTACTTGGTATTTAGTGACTTGGAATATATTTGTGCTTATGCTGTACATATAAAAAAAATGACTTGCTCATTGAAAGTAGGGAATGTTTCCTTCTTTATACTTGTATCTACATCGCCTAGAACAGTACCTGGTACGTAACAAATGCTTACTGGTCGTTGACTGGCTGCTTGGTTGGTTAAGTGACAGCAGAAGAATATGGCACGCATGGATTCTCTGTTGCCTACAACTACCTTCCTGATTATATTAGTACAGACCACTTTCCTGCTGAGCTCTCAGGGGCTCTCTATTTCTTGCCAAGTCACATGCTCTTGCGGCATGTTAAGTGCCAGGCGCCTGTACAAATCCATCATCCAGTTTTATCTCACCTTCCTGCCACATCTTTCCTTCGTCTTCATCTCACCTTATCTTTTTCCCCCTCCCTTAGAGAGCCTATATGGAAAGGAGCAATAAATTCAGCCTCCCAGAAGGGTCTTTTCCATTTCTTTGTTTTGAGGGGCGTTCTCATGTTCTCATGGAGGCTCTCTTTCCACGCCCCTTCTCTAGTGTCCGCTGTCTCCCCTGTAGATGACTTGAATGTCAGTCTCACTAGTCTGAGGTGACTTCTTAGTGCAGGGGAGAAGTCTCGGCCCCTCGTCATCCCCAGCCTCATCCTTACCTCCATCCCCATCCCCATCCTCAACCCCATCACCACCAGCGCTCCCTTGACTCCCCCTCTGCCGGAGCTGATCCTAGCCCCCGAAAAAAGGGCTCTCCCACCCTCTGCCGTCCTTCCCTCCTTGTCTCCTTCCTTCTCTCCCTCCCTCGTCCTACCCTCCTGCTGCAAGCCCTGCCGCCTCTACACTTGAGGCTGCCGCCCCCTCCAATTGGGCAGGCTCCCCATCTATTGGAGCTGCCTCCTGCCAGTCTGCCTGGGCTAGCTCCGCGGCAGCGAGCTGGGGAAGGGGCGTAACCCGTTTTCGAGCTGCACATCTGTCCAGGGCTGCAGTACGGTGGTGGGTTCAGCTTCCCGCTCCCACTGGAAAGGCGTCTGTAGCCTTGGGAAAGGCAAAAGGGGTGAGCCCCGGGGTGTTTCTCCGGGTACTCTCAAGTGCAGCTCTCCAGGATCCAGGAGTTTGAAGTGGCAGCAGAAAATCTGGATTCAAAGACGGCGTGTGCCCACCGTGCGCTGGCCGGGCTCTGAAACGTGAGTTTCCAAGGACCATGACCACCCTTGAGTAGGTAAGTAAGGAGCTGAGGGCACCAAAGGTTTCAGGGGCGGGTGGCAAAGAATACATGTGACGGTCTTCCTGTGGGAGATAGAGTGGGTGGGGAGTTCTACTTCCCAGGCTATATAGAGTTAATGAGGGAGATGGTGAAATATCCTTAGAGAGGCCCCCCTCTATGGGTAAGGGTAAATGCCCTCCTACCCAGTAGGAATTTTGCCCCTAGAAAAGACCCCAGATTGTTGGACCTGCCTCCATTTTATCACAGCTTTGTAGAATCTTTGTCTGTTTGATTGGGATTCCCTCTACCACAATCCTCTTTTTGGAAAATATGTGACATTGTCACTGTAGCTAGTTTGCAGGGCAATGCTTGATCAGCTGTGTTGTACTGCATCTCATTTTTAAAAGTGTATTCTATTTTGTACACTCATGTTCAGGTGGAGTTGACTGGAACTGAGAAAATTATAATTACATCATTAGATAGAAATTCATTTTGATCAGAATTCTTTAGTAGCATCGGAAGAGAACACCTGTTACTGTGCATTGTAATATGTTTTTTGTGTTTGTTGGATGGAGTTTTAGGCCCTCTGTTCTGACTTTGGAAGGACCAAGGTGAAGTCCCTTCCGGTTCTAAATCTGTGATCCTATAATGCTTCATATTTTTCTTTCCACAAGGTTAATTGTAATTTGCCTTTTAATAGTGCTTTCACTATTTTTTCCCTATGGATCAGTGAGGTTCTATCTTTAAAAAAAAAAAGAAAGAAAGAAAGAAAAAGAAAAACAGATTCTTCACCATCTTCACCCTCTTTGTTTGAAGGAAGTAAGGGATGGGGGGGAGGTGAAGCAGGGAAACTTTGTGCAGGTGTGAACACATTTTCTTCCAGAGAGTAAATGGAAAACAAAGCTCCCATAAGAAACAATGTGATAGAGTGGTTATAGCACTGGGCTGAGAGTCAGGTGATTTCCTGGCTGTGTATCACACTGGCTCTGTGACTTTACACAAGCTGTAGAATCACAGAGCTAGAGTAGAAGGGGATCTCAGATACCAGTCTAAGGTTGAATAGGTGGTGTCGAGAGTAGGATTTGAACTCAAGTCTTCTGACCCTAAGTCTCTTTTCATTAGACCATGCTTTCACCTGTGAAATGATCTAAATGACCTCCAACGTCACTTGCCAGTTCAGATAGTTAATGGTTTCACAAAAAGCTGCTGATAAACTGATTATTTGAAGAAAAAAGAAAGAGAGAAATGACAGCCAGTAGGCTAACCAGAATGAATGGTAAGAAAGCCAGGAAGCTATAGGATCTCTTCATGCTGAGACATCTTTCTGAACCTTGTAACTGGTTTCTGATTAATGCAGTGCTACAGGCAGCACACTGTACAAGGAAAAGGGGGATTGCTTACTGTGTCAGTGGGAAGATACAGCTTGCAAGGTTATTGCCTTTCTGTAAAGAAGATTTTCAAAAATAATTTAAATAGCAGGTAAAGAAAGGAACAGTGTGTGATCTAGTGGAAAGCATACTCAAGTTTGGATCGACGGTACCGGGGTTTGATCTCCTCTCAGCCTCCCTTGATGTGTATCCCATGTGTATCTTGGCTCTGTATCGTTGTTTGCATGCTGTCTCTCCTAAAAGACTGAGCTTCTTGAGAAGCTGGCACTGGGTTTGGGCGTCTTTGGCTGTTGGTTTTCGTCCTTGTTGTTCGGTATCGTTAGCACTTAGCACGCTGCCTGTCACAAAGTGGGCACTTAACAAATGTCTGCCGACTGCCTTTGTGACCGGGGACAAGACAGACAATCGGAGCCTTAGTCTCCTACTCTGTCAAACGGGAGGGTTGGAGCAGATAATCGCTAACAACCCCTCCAGCTCCAAATCCATGATCACGTAAGACTTCTTTTAAAATTTCTTAAAAATCATGAACTTACTAACTGGATAGGACTGAACCTGTGATTTCAGTGATAAAAGGAACTCCTGGATGGGGAAAGTCTACGGTGCAGGTGGCACCTTTTCTGCAAATTATGAGGTTGTTTAGCACAATGGTCTCTTGACTTCTATGCTCACACACCTCTACCGGCAAAACCTTTTTGATCATGCAGTATGTGTATGTTTACTTATTTGTAAATTATATACATGTATTACCATAGTGATAGGACAGCTAGGTAGCACAGCGGATGGTGCTGGGCTTGGAACTAGAAAGACCCATCTTTCTGAGTTCAAATTTTGATGAACGTTTTGCACACTTTCTCTCTTTACTTGTGTCACACTATTCTCATGGAGTGGAATCACTCTTAAATGTTCTGTTTCTAGTGCATTATTTCAGCGGGCGGCTTTCAAGTGAGCATCAGAATTGAACTTTAAAATGCTAATAATAAAATAGGAAGAAAAAAAAACAATGAAGAACCAACCCATTTATACCCAGAAAGAGGTGGTCCAAAATAACCTGCTTTTAAAAAACGTACTTCCCTCACCATTGACAGCTATTTTATGATTACTCTATAATGGAGGTAGCCCCAAGCAAGCATGTAAGATTTATACTAACAGGGCTACTACAGATTAATGAGGGACAACTCAGGAAAACTCATCTTCTTGAGTTCAAATCTGGCCTCAGGCACTTACTAACGTGTGACCCTAGGCAAGCCACTTAACCCTGTTTGCCTCAGTTTCCTCATCTGTGAAAGGAGCTAGAAAAGGAAATGGCAAACCACTCCAGTATTTTTGCCAAGAAAACCCCAAATGGGGTCACAAAGAGTCAGAAATGACCAAACAACAAAAACAGATTAATTCTTCAAAACAGGTCATTTTGCCCAGAACCTACTTAGAATTTCATTATGTTCTTTATGGTAGAAAAGTTTGATTTTTCTATATATACACACTCAAAACCAAGCAGGAGTAGAGAATTAGGAGAAAGGGAAGAATTCTAATTTCCTTTAAAAATAGTCCTTTTTTTTTCACAGAGAAAAATAAGGCCTTTATAATCTCCATTAGGGAACACACATTTCATAAGGAAATGAGTCTGAGTGCCATCTTTTCTATATGTCTATCAGCATCCACCTCATGAAAATTAAATAATTAGAATAATGCCACTATACATCACTAAATTTTGTATAACATATTAAAAGGAAGGAATTTTTTTTTAAAGAACAGGGAAAAACTTTTTGTTCATGGCAAAAAGGGACAATTTGTTTTTATTTTTCCATCACTGCCATCAGCTTTCACAATAGAACCATATGGTAGAAATAGAGCTATTTAACAGAAGCATCTACAGAAAACAGTGAAATGAAATACTACTTTCTCTTCCTTTTCAGGCTGATCATACCAGTACAGAAGAGAGCTCTTTAAAAAAAAGAAAGAAAGAAACAAAGAAGCCCAACTAGAAAGGTCTTGCTTTCATGGAGAAAGTAGAACTACCAACAAAAGAGGACCTGGACTTTTTTTACCCAGAAAGAACCACTAAAAACATCTGTGTGGAAACAAGCCCACGTCTACTCATAAAAGGGATAAAATAAAAAACGAACAAAAGAATCCCCTGCCCTTTGGGATGATATTTGTATCAATATTTTCCCCATAAAAGGCTATAAAAGAAGAGCAAATATTGTTTTCTAGAGACTGAAAGAGTGTGTTGCAAAAAATGGAATCAACGGTGGCGGAAATTCAGGTAGAAAGCAAGGATGAGAAGGAGTCTATAGAGATAAGTCCTCAGCATGAGGAGCAGGTTGAAAAAGCATCCATGATTTGTTTTAAAAGAAGAAAGAAATCAGCCAAAGCTTTGAAGTCAAAGAATTGTTCCGAAAAAGCACTCCGTCACACTGGTCCGTGTGGCGCCAAGGATCCCACAGAAGTGGAAGCTTCAGATCAGTTTCAGTCACCAGGGGGGACATGGGCAGCAATCAGACGCTTGGTCACTCGTCGGAAAAGGTCAAAATCTTCAAAGAAAGAAGTCCCCTTAGATGCTAAAGCACAACCTACAGAAAACACTTATGACACCAAACTTGCTAAGAAAACGGCTCGATCCAGGATTAAAATCCCCTGCATAAAACTCTCGAGAAGCAAGAAAAAATGCAGCCATTCCCAAATTATTGAAGAATCTGAATGCAATATGAAAGTAAAGGAAGTTACAGACAGTTTAGGTACAGAGATTCAGAGTCCTCAGGATGCTCCAGCTGTAAAGGATAAATTAATTGCAGACGTAAGTGGTGGTAGCTCCCAGGCAGATAGTGTAAGCGTGCCACAAGTTAGTCACATCAGCTCTTCTGGGGAGAACGTGGCTTCCATAGAACTTGGCGTTGATACAGAATCTTGTGCCATTCAAACAGCAGCGTTAATCCTTGAAAAAGGTATTGAGGAGACAGAAGAGAAACAGGTTGTAAACCTCCATCGAGGAAGCCTCCCTGAGATTTCAGAAATGGGACACCAGCTACCTAAGGAGAATACGGAGGTTGGTAGCGTTGTGGCACCCAATGAAACCCCCACTGAGGCACCTGCAACCCCAGAGACACAGATCACAGAAGAAACATTGAAGGATGTCACAGAACAGAAGCCAAAAGAGAAAGAACATGAAGATGGAGTGACTGCTTCAGAAAAGAACAAGTCAAAAGACACCATATTGTGCTTCAGGAAATCCGCTTTTGAAGAAAATACAGGAGGTCCGAAGATGCCCCCATTAGAAGAAAGCAGAAGGATGGAACCGATTGCTATTATTGTCACAGACACTGAAGTCAGCGAATTTGACGTAAAGAAATCCAAAAATGTCCCTAAGAAATTCTTCATATCGGTGGAAAATCAGCAAAGTGAGCCATTTTCTAATGCTGTGTCATCCAAAGGGGTTAATGGTTTTGAGGGCAGAACTTCTGAACAGTATGAGAAGCTTTTAATAGAAACTGCTTCCTCGCTTGTCAAGAATGCCATTCAGTTGTCTATAGAACAACTGGTGAATGAAATGGATTCTGATGATAACAAAAGAAACAATCTTATATAAAAGACCAGAATTTCAGCTCATGTTTTCTTTTAATGGAAACCTAATGAAGAATTATTTTACATTTTATGACATCTTTAATTCAGAAAAATCATTATGGATATTTACAGTCTCCAAAACTCAACAACACCAACTCCTGTCGAGTTTGAGATGAGAATCTGGCCCAGAAACGTACTATATTGCTCCTTAATGTCCTTTTGATGACAGAACCTTATTTCATAAAGCAATTTAGCTCTGCATATATATTAAGCCTGCATTTGGTTTCAACCCCCCCTTTTTTTTTTTTTTACAATGCAATTTTTTTGTTTTAGTTGTGGACAAGGTGAGCTAATTTTGTAGATGTGTGAATTATTGTGGTTGAGTAGCTAGCCAATGGTCTTACCTCAGAAATATGATGCATTGCTTTATCTTAATTTCAGTGGCATATGTGTATGTTCACAAAATGCATATTTTAATTAGGAAGAAGTGGTTTTCTGTTCTTGATTCTTCTAAGCTATTTGCAAAAATTGCATTAAAATGCCTTCAGATAGTCAGTGAATAGCTTGGCAGTTATAAATGCTTACCTTGACTTCTCCCTTCTTCCTCCTCTATACAATTACATTGATACTCTTGTTCCTACTTTTTCACGAGACATCCTTGAAGGAGGGAATAGGGAGAAAAGTGAAGCGTCTCTACTTATTAGGCCATGGCTCTTCCTTAGGTCATGGTGCTAAATGAAACCCATTCTTTCAAGAAATCACCCTGGAATTAGCCATTTGCGGTTCCCCGTCGTTCTAGCAAGTAGGTGGCCTCAAAGGATAGCAAGCTCAAAGAAAGATAGCCTGGCAGCTTAAAACCCTCTGAAGAGCTCAAACATTTTCATTTTGGGAAAGTGTCAGTCAAATTTGGCCAAAATACCAAGTTATTTATTATCTCCTTTATTAAGATATGTGTGATGTTTCCAAAAAATAATTTTTACTTTAAACAAATCAGCTCTGTGATGAAGAAAGATGGATAGAGCATTTTCCATATTCTATTCAGAGAAGGGTTTTTTTTTCCTTTCAGATTTTAGCTACACCAATTATAGAAGAGATCTGTATAACAAATTAAAAGGAATTTTGTTTTCTTAAAGAAAAGAGAAAAATAAACACATTACTACCTTTTGTCATTGCAAGAGTTGAACCAAATAATAGATATGACTGGCACAATTTAGACAATCTCGAAAGGAAAGGTGAGCCACTATTATTCAGAAATAATTTAGGATAGGGTCCTTGTTAGCTGCATTAAGAAGGGGGATGAGGAACTCATGATTTCTGGTGTTGTTGGTGATTGCCTTTCTAGCTCAGAGGGAGTCATTTTGCTGCCTCAGGCTCTCATCAGAACAAAGGCCCACAATGTTTCACAAGACTACCTCACAGGTCAGTTGTTTGGGTCCTAGAGCTTAATTGTGGCAAGCTCCAAATGGGGTATTCCTGAAGGTAACAAAAAGCTTTGACCAGATATGTAAGGTATCTGCAGTTACAGAGAATTTCACATCAGGCAAAAATCAATTAGTTAACCAGACAATTAGAAATGCTTTCCTGTGTGAATTCTTATATTTTATGGGTCACATACAGTGCATATTACTAGCTTGGCATACAAAATCCTTCTTGTTCCATTCTGTATACACATTCTCAGCAGAGAAAATTCTTCACCCTGAAATGGGAAAATTAAATCAAATGACAGATGTGTCATGGGAATTTTTACTCCAATATAAAAGTGCAAAGTTGCCCCCCAGATTTATATGTCCTTTGTGCTTCCAAATCTGGAAACAAAATACCAGCAATTTCTCATGCAGTCAAATATATCATTCACAGTTGTCTTCAGGATATATCTTTTAGGAAACATGAGGAAAGAACCCAAAATCAAATTTTTTTAATTGTATAAACTTTACTTTTAAAAAAAATGACTTTGGTCAATTACCTTGATCACAGTATATCTCTAATTCACTCTATGTGGTGCTAACAGATTTGGATTTGTTTTTATAACTACCAGCAAATACCATGCCATATTTATGAAATAAAGAATTAAAAAACCCTTATGTACATCCTTATGTACTTTAGTTTCATGACAGATACAGTATCCATCTATTGCAAATGCCTTTGTGCCAGTGGACTTATTTTAATTTTAAGTAATCATTCATAGCAGATGAAAGAGCTTTTACTAAACACTGAAAGTGTTTTGAAAGAGGTGCCATACAATTAAGCGAGCAAAATTTACAATATAAATTTTATGTTGTACCAATAGCATATGAAAATAGCACTATCACTAAATGCAGAAAATGACTTTTTTAAACTAGCACTGTCAATTGCTATTGGTTTTTATTAGCATATTATATTGGATTATTTTTACAATGAGATATATCTTTGGTTGCTTGCATACTAAACTTAATGTTGTTTCATTATCCTATTATAAGTGATCAGCTAATTAAATTAAATAGGACTCCAGCCATAAAAATTAGTCCAAATGTAATTGATTGATTCTATTCAGTTATAGGCTAAATTTTGACATGTCTTCCAATGAGTTGTCTAAATAATTTCATTATGCAGGAATCTAGGGCTATCAGTTGAGGCTTAGAAATATTTATGTCAAAGATTTCCTGCAGTAATAATGTTTTAGGGGCAGCTACATAGTGCAATGGATAGAGCATCAGCCCTAAAGTCAGGAGAACTTGAGTTCCAATCCAGCCTCAGACACATAACACTTACTAGCTGTGTGACCCTGGGCAAGTCACCAAATTGGGGCAACCCCAATTGCTTCACCAAAAAAAAAATTAATAATGTTTTAAATTAGTTGACTTTAAATATATTAAACCAATTAAAAGAAACAAAATTTTTAAAATTCTAATCCTAATTCATTTGTTAATATTATTGAAACAATCAATAGGTAACCTAAGGCTTCAAATATGCACCCATAGGCTACGATTCTGAGTCTCACTTAAATCTCAAAATTTTGTTAGCTACAGTGGATTATTGGCTCAAAAAAAAAATCTTACCCTGGTTTCCTTGGTTCTTGTTACAGTCTCTTGAATATCAAAATTCCCCTCTGTTTTATGCACATTATTCACTTAGCATTTTCTCTGAGCTCTTAACAAGGTATAAAAATAGTACGCAGTAACATTTAAGTAAAGGTGACAGGAAACAAAAGAACCTTCAAACAGAAAGTGTTCTCTGGCACCACCGCCCCCTCTTCAAAGAATAATAAGCATATGGCAGAAATTTATGCCTGTGTGATATGGGCTCAAGAGAGCTACACGCACATTCTCTTTTGAGATGATCACCAACTTACGTCAACTACATTAATTAAGTCTACTTAATAGAGTTGGAGGAGTTTTCTAATTAGTTGACATAGATGCCCTGTGAATTGTACTGGTAAATAGGGTTTTTGTCTTCTCTAGGCTACCAAGTGCAATTCAGTGTTAATCTGAAACAGTTTGCTTTAACTTTTTTTTCCCTTTCCCCCTTTGTAACAATTCAGGACTCACTGCCTTTGTAAATCAGTTTAAGACCTGTTTTTCCTAGGGACCAAAGTAGACTGCCCTTGACAATATTTCATTACCTGATTTCATCTTCCCAATTACTTAGGTGTTATCTGTAGTATTCTAACCCTCTAGAACAGGGACTCTTAACTTGGAGTGGATGAACTTTAAAAAAAAAACTGTTGTGATAATTATCTCAACATAATTGATTTACTTTATAATCCTTTGTATTTTCTTATGCATTTAAAAACATTATTCTAAGAAGGGGTCCATAGGCTTTACCAGATTTACTAAAGTAGTCCATGTTACAAAAAAGATTAAGAATCTCCTTAGAGAAACTTAAGTTTTATTTTGTAGTGCAATTCCATTTTAATGTGTAAGATGGGTTTTGAAGACGGCATTTGATTCTGCAGTTGATTGTGTACTTTTCTTTTTTTTTTGTATTTCCATATAGAGGGCTTTAAATTAATTTTTTAAAACTACCTGGTCATATTACAGACATTTTGTGAGAGCCCACACAGACAGAAGCTCTTCATCCCACATTTGGCGGGCCTGGCTTCTGACTCTTAAGAGAAAACCTAAACTTTCAAGGAATCCCTACACATTCAATTGTGATTCTGCCATATAACAACAGAATGCCTAGAATCACTTCATTCTAGAGCAAATTCTGGGCACACCTTAGTTTGATTTCCAGGCTCTGAATCTCAGATTTTTTTTTAAACTAAAGTTTTTAAGAACATAAAAAGAGGATTGTATATAAAACCATGAATCTCTCTTCCATACTGCTTGCCCTTTTAAAAGCATATAAAAAATTCAACACATTACTTTCAAAGCTGTCCTGATCGTGTGTTCCATCTGAACATCCTTCTGTTGTCTTCTATGAATAATTTCTGTGGCCCCCTTTTATGGGCATATCATGATTGGTAGACCTCCTCTGTTACCCAAATCCTTCCCAATTAAAAACAGGAGGAAAAAAGAAATCACGTAACAAATCTACAGTCAAGCAAAATAATTCCAAAAGTGGATGTCTCTATTCCCTGAGTCCATCACCCCTTTGCCAGGAGGTAAGAGATACACTTTGTTTGGTCCTTTGGTTAATCATTGCTTTGATCAAAGTTCTTAAATTTTTCAAAGTTGTTTTTTTTTTAACAGTGTTGTTATACAAAGCGTCTCCTTGATTCTGCTCACTTCATGCTGTATCAGTTCACACATCTTTCTAGGATTCTCTGAAATCATCTTTCATCATTTCTTACAGCTATATTCAATGTAATTTAATTACATTCATATACCATAATTTGTTCAACCATTCCCCAGTTGATAGGCACTCCTTCAATTTCCAATTCTTTTTTTTTCCTTCAATATTTCCCTCCTTTTATGATCCACCCTCCAAAGGTGAGGTTTGTTTTGCTTTAACTATTCTTTCCCTGGTATTATCCTCCCTCTTAACCCTACCTTTCCTATCCTCATCAGTTCCCTTGTTTAGTTTAATGTATTTATACACCAAACTCTGTGTGTGTGTGTGTGTGTGT